GGGGCACCCCTGCGGCGGGGGTCCGGGGGTCAAACCCCTACCCCGGCTTTGGCCCCGGGGGCCCCCGCGTGACAACCTTGCCCACGAGAATGTTCATGGTTTAACAACACGCGCAGATAGAATCGTTTCCCTTCGGTGATCCTTACGTGATGCAACAGAGATATTTTTTCGAAGGGACCACCGTGGAGATCACTCTTTCTTCGGTTCTGCTTCTTATGTTTGTTATCCCATACATAAGTATTAATGATTTCTGAGTTAAGAGGAAACTCCTCTTTAGGAACACCTTCATTCAAAGAGTTGTGTTCCATCCATGCCGTCAATTTCGTTTTCGGGGGTTCATGCGAAACAACCTCATGCTCAGTGCTAGGTTCGAATTGCACTTTTTGCATGTTTTCGAGATGCACGGACAATCTTTCCACCGCGGGCCATTGTTCCGCAACGTCAAACTCAAATAGATGCCAGCATGCTTCGCACGCACCTACAACACGCATATCTTGATACAATTTAACTTCGTCGATGGGCGCATTATTATCCTGCTTGCAAACCATAGAACGATCACACCCTTTGTACACGTACTTATACACGTACTTGCACGCCTTGATGTTAGCACAATATTTAACATTTAAGTGGCAATTAAACCTCATTAATAAATACGGATTATACGGGACCACACGCCGATTGTCGTAAACGACACCATTTTGAACAATCGTAAAACCACTGTCACTTGGTTTCCTTCTCCTATACGAAGGGTACGTTTGCTCGTCTTTGAATGTTGTCGTGAAAATGAAGTCTTTCGGAAACCCTTTTGTGCATTCTCCGTCCTCCGTACACGAAACGTCGCGTTTCTCCGCACCACAAATCCCGTGCAACATGAACTTGGCTACCCTTTCTCTCAATTCCCCTTCCGGAGGAATCTCAACACACACCACATTGTCAATAACATCCGCATCCCGAATTTTATTATCCGGGTGCAAGATAACCAATATATTTGTGTGTGATAGACCCCTTTTTTGAAACTCCACCACATACAATATTCCACTCACCCTTACAAAGATCCGTTTATGTTTTATCTCATCAATCAGTTGTGCAAGACAACCCTTGAACACTCGTGCGAAAAGATCCGGCCTGTCGTTAGGACATTGACCTGACAACAGGGATTGTTTGATCTCCGGCCAATTTGTGTTGCACGTCATAGTGATGAAAAAATCCAGTTTTCCGAATCGTCTCACAACTGTCATGCTGTCGTGATATCTTTCACTCATATATCGAGGCCCCTCAATGAACGTTGACGGTAAAACCACTTTTGTCCCAATACCGTCACCACGTTGATTTTGTTGCACAACGTCTCGTAAATCCTGATAATACTCCTGGCGCAATTCTTCTTAGTGGAATATCACCCATTTTAAGTGGAGGGATTCAACTTTAGCATACGCCATGCAATAAAACTCATGAAAAAGACGTGTTGCATAAAGGAGGCAAGGCCTTTCGCCATCGCGCTCGTGAAGGTGAAATGCATAGTACTCCTTGACACTAAGTCCTGACGGTCATCCAGCCTCCGAGGCACGTCGGACAGACCAACTATCAATTCCCTCTGGGAAAAGTAAAACAAACCTTAAGCAATCGTGCGCTCGAGAACATTCTGGAACCACAACTGTCTGCCACTCACCAGGAAGAGGAACACGCAAATGAATTTCCAGCTCACGAGGAAGGAGTTCATCGACCATCAGAACACACACCTCATGTAGACCCATAAGACGGTTATAACGCCTTGCATGTTTCTCCTCAAGCATGACATCCAGATTTATGACCAACTTCCTCATATTCAACGCTTCCTGTTCCTGCGGAAGGTCAGCAACCGTCATAAAGTCCTTCACGTAATTGTTACATTGTTGTAGCAATTCGTGAAACCTTCTCAATATTTGTTTCGCTCGATCAAGTTCGGCATCAGGTGTACGTGCAGGTAAGTTAAGGAAATTCACTCTTTGATCAATCGCATCGTCCAAACGTTGAGAATCGTGCAAGTATAGTTGCGCAAACTGAGGACGTTCTCCTTCCCCGACAGCCAATGCACTAATACGATGAAAGATTTGACCTTGAGCCCGAAGTTGACCCTGAAATCTTTGAATACCATCGCTCGGCTGCTTCAACCGTGAGGATGCGAGGGATAAACTATTATTAATTATCCTCACATTGTTTCGAAGGAATCGCCCGTCGGAACTTTGAGATGTCCAAAAGGAAAGAATCTCATGCTCCGGCGAACCTTCGCAAGGCCATTCTCATAAAGGACAACATTTTGTACATTTTCGGCAACACATCTTCGTCCATTTTGTTTCATGATGCCACAATTTAGCACCAAAATGCTTACACGGATCTCGATTGCCAATGCCGAATAGTTCAACAGTGCTACCATTCCCAAAAATCGCTACAGTGTTCTCAACCGCCGCATACGTTGTTCCGACAGGTGCCGATGGCAGTGCATTAAGATCAGGAGCCGGAACATCATGCAAATCATTCATTTCTTCATCGCGACTATTTGGTTCACTGTCTTCATGATTGTTCATTGAATTTCGATTTCTCACGGACGGATTTTGCGATTGCCTTGCTCGCAATGACAGACTCTACGAGTGCCTCGCCCGAGAATATTGACTCCGCGATTGTCTCGCAGGAGAAGATGCATTCCTCGATTGCGCAGAGACGCTGACTCGAATCTCTCGAAGGATATTCATAGCGAACAAAATTCGCCTCACACCCCGTACAAAATTTTTACGAGCACGCACATCTTCTTTCCTCCTATAATTCTTAAGTGTAACTCTCAATGAACGCATACGTTTAACATGAACGTTTGGTCGTCTTAGCTGCCTTTTTCTTCGTTTTAAAATTATACGCGACGTAGAACATGGTTCGTTCATATTCATTTTATCGACTTGTTCTTTTCGTTCACCAGCCTCTACAGTACTTTCAACTAGTATTGCACTTGCATCATAGCCCAATGACACATGGTGAGGTATCGACGACAACGATCCAAGTTCCAAACGACGCACGACTTTATTTGCACGGACCTGTCGAATTAATAACATACGGTACCATCGGTTGCGCCTTGAACGAATCGGTTTCCATAATAATAATTTTTTCCTTCGCTTATGAAATCCAACAAATTTTATAATCAACGTGTTCGGCGAATTCGGCAGGGTCGTGACAGCAGAAGATGGATTTGCACAAACATCCGTCAATGGAGGACAAACATTACTCTCCATAAATTTTTGTGGGACATCGGCAGTCAATGTGGATGATGAACAATTGTGCACATGTGCCGAGTCCGAGGGAAAATTATCGAGTAAAACGGATCTTTCGACAATCGAAACGGAATCTGCATTTATTGCAACATCCGTACGAATTTCAAGTGAACGTTCACTTTGTAAGGCCATAGAGAGATTTCTAGGACAACTAATGCGATCCGCACCAACATTATTATGTCCTCGACTCATTCTGTTGAAAAGCACGGGGCTTGTGAAATCATTCGTCGATGAAATTGATTGTCGAAAAGATAGAGACCTATCACTACATTGTTCTTCATTAGAACAATCAAGAGTATAATCTTGACTTACCACCGGTTTTTTATCTCTCCTGCGAGCAGTTGGCTCACCTACAATACATACCGCCTGTAATAAAGACCTCTGGGTTCGACGACTTTGAAAAGGTGGTCGTCTGCGTTTGCGGTGTTCGTGTTGTGATGGCATTGCCGTCTCACTCGTAGAACGATAGGGAGTAATATATGAACCTATACGCAGTCCCAATCCATGGTTGGATGAGGAAGAAGGGTCCTCGATCGGAGACAAACTGACTTGACTTGGAACAATGGAAGGACACCGAGTATATTCTGATATTATCGGCGAGGATACCAAAGGATCATTAACAACCCTTTCAAAAGGCCGATGGCGTTTGCGACCCTTCCACGGAACATGCAAGGACCTATCCGCAGGTGAAGAGAAGGTTGAAATGGTGGATAAATTACTATTGGTTGAAGTGTCACATGGGTCTTGGTCCTCTGCCAAATTAATGGGCACGTACGTACGTATTTGTACACGGGCATGTCACAGTGGATAGGAGGAGTAAGATGCATATAGACAACCAGAACGAAAAGAATACAGCTCAAAACATTCATATATAGATGTAATTATATGAAGAAGAGTAATATAGTGTCATTTAGAAAAGAGAAAAACAAAGAAGACATAGTGCAACACAAAAAACGCAGCAAAAATGCAAAGCAGATATGATAAAAAAAAAAAAGTCAGTTGTTTTTTTTTTTTTTCAACGCGTCTATCGAGGTTAATCAATGTTAATTCACATCGGAATTTATTCGTACAGGTGCACTTTCATGTTCTTGCAAATGTTTGATCGGGATCGAAACTTCTTTGAACTCCTATTGAGGTTAATTAACATGCCTCCTATTTTTTTCATATGCCTTTTTCGTTTCTTATGTTCGATTTATGATCCTATACACCCCTTAGTCTTTTCAGAGTCTCATGCAATAGAGTCATACGTACCTCGTCTATCCATGTTTGCCCTTTGTCATTCTCCGGCAAGGCTCACTTTCCTGTTCGGATAAATTTGTCACTGGGATCGGAACTTCTTTTGGCTCCAATCCACCGTAATCGAGGCGGCTCCTACTTGCGGTCAGCCTTAGGTATCCTAAGTCAGTAATCCGTCCACAAAAGATTTGAAAAAGGTAACATGTTTTCGCCGACCTTTCCGAGCCCCGATCGCTAGGAAGTAGTCCGTAGTACTCATTCTCCTCGCCTGAGCACGAGGCCCAGATCTCAGAAGTAGGCGTTAGCTCCACCTCAACAACATTGCACCACTTCCATAAATGGATCTATGCGGCGTACCGCACCTCCCCCTAGCCAGCCTCGAAGGTCGTGGATCCAGGAAGAGTCATTCCTAGCGATCGAGGTCGGGCAAACCGTTGATGACCTCACCTTTCTTCTCCTCTTTTGCTTGGGTCACTTTGATGAAATAGGAGCAAAGGGGGTAGAGAACATGACCTTTTGGAACAGGTCTAGGTAAGAAGAGGTCATTCGGGATAGCATGGGTGTCTTGGGAAAAAGGCTACGTTTATTGTCATTTTTATTCCTTCTTATTAGATTGGTTCCTTCTCCAATATTCAATCGAAATACATAGTGTGACCCAACCCTGCGAATAACAGTAAATTTGCTTCACATAAGTGCCTGAGTATTTTCAGCGGCCCATATAGACCAATCATACATACCTTGATTATTCTTGAACATCCTTTGCTTTCCTTCGATACCGTTTACTGGAGGACGGCCTTTGCTTTCCTTCGATGCCGTTTACTGGAAGGCGGCCTAAGCGCTTTAGTATTTTCAACGCCCCACGTAGCACACTCATACGTACCTTGTTTATTCATAAGCATCATTTGTCTTCCTTCGAGACCGTCTGCAGGAAGAGGACTCAAACTTATTGTTTCGTTTTCTTTTATGATTAAGATTTTTTTGTCATAATTATTCATCAACTTTACAATCTTTCTCCGTATATTTTT